GTAGTATTAATGCGGTGCAGGTAGTCATTCAGTCTTGCCATGCCTGTCCTCAATTGTACAAGCACGGCAGCTTCTTTGCGGGTGAGTTGATCGTACATCTTCTTCGTGTGCTTGCCTGGTAGGGCTTGGTCAATACGCTTAGAGAATCTGCCAACACTTTCAGGCAGGGCATCACAGCCTCCTATTAAAATATCGTTTCTTTTCATTCACTATCAAATCTCGCTTATATACATTACACCTCTGGCCGTCTACATGTGGGCTGAGTTCGACGCCTTTTGCGGGGTAATGCATGACTTACTTCTCGCGTAAGGCAAATCAATCATTTTCACAGCCTCGCCTGAGCCTTTGTATGCTTCTGAACACTTTGCTGCTGCGACTCGCGTTGGGTCTGCGCTCAGGGCAACACCTGCCGCATGTACGGCATCGTGTCAACCTCCCCGATTGGATCACCACTGTGGAGTTGTATGCAGGCGCATGCGGAGACAACGCATCATTAGACCAGTTTTGGATAGTGTGGCCACGTTGGCGAGCGTTGAAGGTGACATTACCTCCTCAAATCCTGCAAAGCTACAATTTACCAGAGCTGTGCTGCCTGCATCGTCCTGTTGCTGCAGCGGGGACCGCTCCGTAAAGCTGCGCCTTATGCACACAGCGACTGGAGAAAAATTTGTAGGGCGTGCCGATCATGCCTCGAGGTTTACGAATGGCTGTTATTTCGTCGCTTCTACCAGTTAACAGTCACGCCGTAGCGCCTTTCAGCACACATTGACTCGTCAAGCAATGTATCACTTCAGATGTGCGACATGCATCACTAGTGGTAGGCCTCGCTCACACAGACCCTTTCGTCTCTGCGTCGATTTCAGAAAGCTTCTATCATATCATTCCCCCTTAGACGTGTGGGTTGATGCAGCAGGCTTCGACCCAAAAAGAGCGAGCTCTGGAGAATCAAGGGCTTGGGGGTTCAAGGGTATTTCGAAGAAACAAGCTTGCCACCGATTCTGTGGCTGCTGGAGGTAGGAGAGACAGGAACTTTGTCCTTTTTATCCGTAGGCTGCACTCAGATGCAAGGCGGCATCACGTTGTCGGCAAGGTGGCAGAGATCATTTACGGGCTGCTGACTCCAAAGGACAAAGTGGTGGTGCTGCAAGGTACATCGAGCAGAGTACCTGAGAAGGGAAGCTCCTGGGAACAGTGGCATTTTCGGAGCTGGGGGGGCAAGGGTATTTCGAAGAATTCATTCATCCGAAAATGTCCTCCCACCAAAATTGCTGTAGACTAGTGGTGGACACAACAGGAGGATACCTCTGTACAGGTAAATTCGGTGGTAGGGACCCCTGTCAATGCCAGCTCTGGTCCTGGTTGCCAGCTGCTTAGCCCAAGCCCGAAGATGCTCACGACAGACCCATGCATTGTTGCAGCATGACCTGAAGCATGGTGCATTGAATAGAAGTCGAAAATGGACACGTTAGGCTTTCTCTTAAGCATCCTCGTCACATAAACGCTAAGTTTGGATAATAACTTTAAGCCGCAGCTGGATTAAGTTAGGCGGCTGGTCCGCTGCAAGTCTGCGCATTTGCCTGAACGCAATAAGTGGGTGGCGCTTTCTCGCACAGCGAAAGAAATCAAGCTACGCAGCTTACGGAGTCCAAATCGCTCTTCCATTCTGCGAGGCTTGACGTGGTTTGATGTAGGTGCCTTTGCTCCATGACGTAAGAATATCTGGTGCACATGAGTGAGGTTTACAGTAGAGGCACGAATCTCCAATGTAAAAGCAACCACACGACTACTATTATAGCAAGAGTTTCCTGGCCAATCATAGCCGCATATCAGGGTAAGGGGGAGATAAGTAGTGCGCTAAGCGGGAATAATTTCGATCAGGCACACGGTGATGGCGATCGGATGAATTGTAGTTGATGGTGGGTTCTTTGAGACACTGCCTCTGGGAGATCGGATGTGCCTGCGGCCCCGCTACTAGGCCGGCCTCAGTTTTTGATCGCATACTACGCTGAAGATCTTTAATTCTCAGCGAGGGGCAGATGTACAAAGCCACAGTTTGGTGGTGCTAGCGGCCATCAGCAAATTGCCGCGATCTAAGGCTCCTTTGCCGATGGTAGCCGACGGCAGCCGACCAACCTTGAGCTACCTTACTTCTGGCACTGAGAGTTACAGAGCCAAAGCGTCGCAAGCAATACGGAGACATCAAGGAAAGCATAGGAGTGCCACTATACGGCAACCAGAGAGGCGGCAAAATAGTGGTACAAAGCATGGACAGCCAATCAGTACGTTCTATCTAGATATAAGGCAAAGCTACAGTAGGCAGCAGCAAAAATCCTGCGCGGGCTGCTGAGCAACCTGAAAAGAGCGAGCTCTGGAGAACAAAAAGGTTGGAGGGTCAAGGGTATTTCGAAGAATCAAGCTTACCACCGAATCTGTGGCTGCTGGAGGTAGCCTCCGACCTGCTCGGCCAACTGCACCAGTACAGCCTCTTACCGCCATTTACTCGACCAGGCCCTCGTAATAGCTCAAAAAGCCCATAGGAGGCGAATAAGGATACTTTCAGCGGAGCAAAAAGTTGACATGATAGTTTTCTTCTAAATACAAACTGCGTTACAGTATGCCAGTTCTGCAGCTGTCGTCGAATGAGACAGTTCACGGTATGAGACAGTTCACGGTATGAGACAGTTCACGGCGCTTGTCTTTGAGTGCTGAGGTGGAGATGGTAGTCGTTTACCGCTCTCTGGTTTTCTCAATATACCCCTTACTCCCCCTTTCAAAGCACAGTCCCCCAAGACTTACCCTGCTCATGGCCCAGAGCCCAAGTATCAAGCTGGAGCGAGCTTCAATGCTGTGCACTTTTTATGCTGGGCTAGAAACCGGCCGCCGCAGGAATTTGGTCTTCAAAATTACTTCTGAACCCACAGTGCATCGTTATTAATACCTGAGCCCCCGTTGTATCAATATCTGACCCCAATAGTTTCGTCCAAATACCCTACCAGACACTGTAGAATGCCCTATTCGGTAGATGGCTTATCTCAGCGCACCAAACCCTGGCTGCAGCCTCCACCAACTGCTAGGTGCTTGCACTTTCAACCCTTACCAGTACTAAGATTATTGGGCATGTCAAGAGATGAGCGGCAGGAAATTTTGAGGTAGAAAGCGAATGCAACGCAGTGGTACCATGGACGGCCGCTCAGTGCTGCTGATAGATCGTTGCAGTCACGAAAAGTCCTCTAGGGCGCAGCATAGAAGATCGTGCGGGGATTTGAAAGGGCTAAGCTCTTGGGAACCGTGTAGTTGGTGGGCAAGGGCATTTCGAAGAAACCAAATCTATGGTGCCGCCTTTGCCAGGTTATCCAGTAATGACTCAAGAAGCCCAATCTGGGAGACACTAGAAAATGCACATGGCAATTGCTCCATTGGACTCCATCAAGCTACGGTACCTGAGTGTGACGATCGGAGTGGCTGCGCTCGGTTTGTCGAGATCATTTCAATATTGCTGTCTGCCAAGACACTGCCTAGGACCATTTTGTCTAGGAAGGCGGATGACAGATCACGCTTTACCAGTTTCGAAGATGCGCACTGTGCCTCACGGAGCATCTCGTACTCCTAGACCACGCATAGTGTCAGGCTACCAACACCATGGCCAGCCCGCGCCAAAGCCTGGGCGATACAACCTCATCCCACTAGTCATCTTTGTAGTACGGAGAAACATAAAAACTAGTGACACTAAATTTGAATGAGTGCCACTAGGCCAAGAGTGGAAAAGGCCCCTGGCACTGCAAGACGCGATGACATCGCGAGCTAATGAGTCACAGGCCCACAGTGACGACAGCTTCGGCTGCCTGTGGAAAGCGCTGGAACGAGCAGGCAACAGATAAATAATGCTGAGCGCCAGTGCAGCTG